CCAACTATGTTACTTTATATTTGAACCATCCCCGATTGCTAAAATTCAGCGTGTTAGAGAGAGGTTGTGTCATCTCTCTACCCCTTCAGTTCTTCGTGCGCATGCTCGACGCCTGAGCGGCAAGTATGCCGCCGGCGGAGAACTTGGACTTGTAGCCGGCCAGAAGATGACCTCGTATGCAGCGGCGGTAAGGGATGCCATCCTCAGCCACCAATTTCACACCCAGGCGGCTTCATTCGTCGACGTGGGAAACTGGGGTCTTCCCGGTACCGTCGACGGATATCCAACGGTCTCCTTCTCTGAACAAGATCTACAAGTTTTCTCCTCCCACCTCAAATTCGCCCTAGTTGGAACCTTCCCATATGGACGGCCAACTCTCGTTGCGATTCGTAAGGCTATTGGGTTTGTTCTTATTTGAACCAATATATATATATATATGTGTGTGTGTGTGTCTGTGTGTGATAGCCTGAAAATTTACTCTATAGCAGATTTACTTCCTATTTTTGCTAAAAGAGCATATTGGATGGATTTTTATGGTATTCCTTCTTTTAGAGCATAATTTTCATTCTTTTTCGGGCAAGGTTTGGTCCCTCCGAATTTTTATATTGCTATTTTTTATTAATAAAATTTGGTAAATGCTATTCGACATTTATCCGACTAATTTTGGTGGTTAACCTTCCGTGGTAAGAAAAAGAAATATATACACACACTCGTATAAATTTATTTTTTATTAGATTAATTAACTTCTCATATCCCAATGATTTAGGTACTGATTTCATGTATAGACCTGTCAAGATAGACATGCAGTAAAGTAGAGATTGTATGCATGGAGTAGAGCGTTGTCTACCTGTCTACTCCCTTCTGTATTTATCCCATTCCATTTCTACTAAATTAGGCTTTTAATGCTATTTCTTTTAAATAAAATTCATGTTGAGAGTTAGGCCTATTAAAACTTAAACGGCGCCTATGCATAGGAGTTAGAAATAAAGTTAACTAATAAACACATATTTCCAGATAATGGAAACAACACACTCAATGGGTTGAAATGATTGTAATTGAGAATAAGGTTCTAGAGAAGTTTTTTTCTACTAAAAACGTTTCTTCATTTGACAAATTACCCAAATTAGAAGCAAAAAGAAAAAATGCAAACAAATCTTGGGTTCCCCTCTCAATTGGAGAGGTTCTACAAAATTCTATAGCTTTCTAGAGAAGTGTAGAATTTTCTAGAACGTTCTAGAGAATCCTAGAGAAGTCTAGAACTCTCTAGGAGCTTGTTGAATAGTGTGGAATCCTCTGAAACATTCTGAAAATGTGTGGAACCTTTTGGAATCTTATGAAAGAGTATGGAAGGGAATGGAGAGGTGTAGAGATTCTTTGGAGTTTTCTAAAATATGTAGACATGTACAAAGCATTATAGAGAATTACTCTCCACCATTCATAATGGAGGTGTAGTACAAATAGGAGTAGGAGCCTTCAATCCCAACCATACAAACCAAGAGTGAATTCACTTCTTAGAGTGAGAAAGTTAGAGAGCCTCTTTTAGAGTGAACAGAGATAGCTTGGAAAGTCATATCCTCAAGCTTGAGTGAGTCACTACAGAGAGATATATTCTCTCCCATGGTAAAGATATTGCTGAGAAGTTGTCAAGGAAAAGAAATTACATCTTGACAAAATTCACATAGACGAGAACTGATCAGACATTATGGCCAAGGTAATATTGACAAAAAAGTTCGAAGACTGATGTCAATGTGCATATTTGCATTTACCCCACAATTAAGTCTGGAGGGGGAGATTTGTTGGAATCCCACATTAGTTGGAGAGGTCCTAGAAAATTCTATAGCTTTCTAGAGAAGTGTAGCATTTTTTAGAATGTTCTGGATAGTCCTAGAGAAGTTTAGAACTCTCTAAAAGCTTGTGAAATAGTGTGGAATCCTCTAGAACATTTTGAAGATATGCATGTGGAACCTTCTAGAATCTTATGAAAGAGTATGGAAGCATATTGAAGGAAATGGAAATGTGTAGAGATTCCTTGGAGTTCTCTACAATATGTAGACATGTGTAGAGTATTCTAGAGAACTACTTTCCATAATTCATTATGGAGGTGAAGTAGTATAAATATGAGTAGGGGCCTTCATTCATAAACATCCAAGTCAAGAGTGAATCCACTTCTTAGAGTGAGAAAGTGAGAGAGCATCTTTGAGAGAGAAGAGAGGTGGTTTGGGAAGTCCCATCTTCAAGCTTGAGTGAGCCACCATAGAGTAAGACTATTTTGTAAACACGTCTTTGTAAATCCTAATATTCTTTAGTATAGTGGAAGAATCTATATATTATAGAATTATACTCGTGTGCTCACATTATAACCTTAATTCTTAAGTGCCTATCTTAACCTCACGAAACGGGAAAGTACGGGTTTTTTCCAACAATAAATGAAAATGGTTCATGCTATTGAGAAACAAATAAAACCTAGGCAAAGTAACAGACTATTAGTAGGGAATGTCAAAAAAAACCGGCCCACCCCGCTAACCCCAAAACCGGGCAGGTCCGGGTATTAGTATTGACCCGTGCTGCCCCGACCTGCCCCGCTCAATATATAAGTATATACATATTTTTTCTTAAATTATACTACAAATATACTTCAACATACATATGTGTGTATACAATAAATCATAAATTCTTTGATCTTGTAATACATCAATATATATATATATATATATATATATATATATATATATATATATATATATATATATATAGGGAAGAGTTCAAATAAAAAGACCCTTTCCCGTGCAAAGTGCTAAGAAATGCACTTTTGCATGTTTTGCTTGCACTTTTGCGTGTTTTTGTTGCACTTTTCGCGGTAACGAAAAAGTGCAACATATTTACAAAATTGCCACCGCAATTTTGGTCGAATTTTGTGCATTTTTGGCTCATTTTGAGCCATTAGATGTGGAAATGAATGCATAAGATTCATTCTCACTTTGCATGGGAAGAGGTCTTTGTATTTGAACCATCCCCTATATATATATATATATATATATATATATATATATATATATATATATATATATATATATATATATATATATATATATATATATATATATATATATATATATATATATATAGGGAATAGATCCCATGAAAACACCCTCTAACATGAAAAATGGGAAAGAATCCCGAACGTAGATCTGGATGAATCGTACGTCTATTTGGAAATATCCTTTGTAGATACGGTGGACCGCATTTGAGAGAATTATTTCCTTGAATGACCACTTTTAATGATTCGCACGCTGAAGGTCATATTAGTCAATCGATTCTCTTACCATTTTTAAAACGAATCAATTAACCGGTATTGCAAGCCGTAATACACCAATACCGAAATCACGCCTTCCAATTAGCCATTAATGTGAAGCGGCTAAAGTAGGAAAGTGCAGAGACAAGTTTGGTTATTCATCCGTATCCAAGAGTGCTGTGCAGAAAGTGGAAGCGCAGAAAGGAAGAATTTCGTGAAGAGCATGTCGCAAGTTGAAGAAGACAATGATGCGAGAGAGGAACAGACAAGCGACGGAAATCGTAAGTGTTGTATTTGTTCTCAGTTAATCTTAAAATGTGAAGTTCTAGAATGAATGTTAGTAAAAATGTGATTTGTGATTGTGCATGTTTGAAAACGATGAAAAAACCTGGTAATATGTTGGGTTTGTAATGTGAAGGAGCAGTTGCGTGTCAGTGGGTACCGGAAACGTTGAAAGCTCTTCTTCTGTAAAAATGGTGAAGCCAAATGTTTGCAGAAGATTATAAGAGAGAATGAATAGCGTTTGCTGCGTGAAATAAAACAAAATATTATAGAAGTGGATTGTATAATAAATTGAGTGTAGACAATGTTAATTCAATTTTTTTGGTATAATATATATTTGAATTTGAGTGGATAAACATGAAGTTGTAATGCATATTGAAAATGTGCAGTAAGGATAATTTAACAGAACACGAGTGAATTCATGGGTGTGAAGTATTAGAAAAAGGCTTTAATGCATAAAGCATATATTAAGTAAAAAAGGAACAGTGTATATATGTATGTTTGAAAAATGAGTGATATGAATGTTGAATTTTATAGTCAACATGGTTGATTAGTTAATTGAATTTCATATAATAAGATTCTGTGTATGGAATTGTGGTACCAAAATCACTATTTTTGTTTGAAACACATAATTTATTATAAGTTTGGGTGTAGAAAAGGCATTACAAAAATATAGCTGCATAATTTTTGTTTGTTTTTTAGTAGATGAAACATGTGGTTTTAGTGCACATTGAAAGCGGAGAATGTGCAGTAGGGATAAATAGACACATAAGTAGTGAAGTAATGGGTGTGAAGAATTATGAATGAATTTGAATTGATAATGGATAGAATAGGTGGAAAAAGGAAAGTGTGTATAAGTATGTGTGACAAATTAGTAGTTTGAATTGGAGTGTTTTTATATAGTGGAGATGAGTGAGTCATGTATGATTTTAAAAGCAATTTAAATTTGTATTATAATGAGCAATGTAATAGTTTAGTTGCGGATGGAAAAAATATATTTTTGATTTGAAATAGTGGAAGTATTATTGAAAATAAGTGGCATTGAGTAATACATTTTTAGGTGGTAATGAAATTGGAAAAAGTGAACTGACACGTTCAAAGTAAGAATGGTATTGGAGATTGAATTAGTGAACAGTGTGAGAAATGTAAAAGTTTATTTGGGAATGGAAAAAATAAATTTTTTATTTGAAAAAGTGAAAGTATTATTGATAATATGAGGCAGTGAGTAATACAATTTGAGCTGGTAATGACGTTGTAAAAAGTGAACAGACACGTTCAATGGAAGAATGGTATTGGAGAGTGATTTAGTGCACGTAGTGTGTGTTATGTTAAAGTGTACATGTAGTTATTAGATGTGCAAAACTATAACATGTATATGATACAATTCATTAAAACCAGCTCATTTACTAGTGGATCATAGGTGGGAAAAAAGTGCAGTCATGTTTGTAAACAGTGCATTAAGGGAATGACATCGTGGATCTACAAAAAATAATATGATAACAACATGCGATTAAAAAATATGTTACCTGTTTGTGCCATATGTTGCATCAAACGAAACAACATCACCAAACATGGTATAGTTAACCCTAGCAGTCGGGTCGCACCAGAAAAGCCTAGTCAATTGGTCATTTTCATCTACGTCATAATTAAAAAAAAAGGCGGAACAAACTTCTTTTTTTCTAAACAACTTCTCAATTAGCATCTGTGCATCCACACCAGCAATGTATGCCTTCAAATCCCTTTTAAAGTTTTTAAAGTCAACGGACGTTGCACCGATATTAGAATATCCACCAACGGATTCCTTATATAATCTATAACATTTCATGGTGCCAATATTAGCCTTTGTACAGTTCACAATGAACTTTTGGTGGCCAATATCCAAACTCCTATTCACCTTCAAAAATGGTTTCGCTAAATTAGATGTCATAGGATGATTATGACGCTCTTCAAAGTCAAACACTGAGTATCCACGCAGGCCACAAAATTTGAAAGCAATGCGCGCTTTACATCCAACTCTATTGGATAACCGGCATCTCTTTTTTGGATTGGGATCCTCAGGTTGGTTGCTTTGTTCTGCCATCGGGTAGTTTATAGGTGTTTGACTATTTCCATTTTGAGGTGTTTGGCTATTTACATTCTCTTTGAACCCCGCTCTACTACAAACGACATACTTCAACTTTAATGTACCATCCCTAGCTTTTGAAGAAGTACCGAGGCGAATACCAAAACCAGTAATTGCAGCATACTCCTTATAATATGCAATACCCTCCTTCAAACTTTTAAAAATCTGACCAATATACGGCTTCACATCATCATTACAATTGGGAATCCAATATTTGATCTTACCGGGTGATATTTGCAACTTAGAACAAATATCGGGTGATGTAGGTGAAATTGGAGTGTCATTATTGGAGAAACTAGCAGAAGAAGAGTGAACATAGGAGTCTGCATGTATAGAATATTTGGGATTATCATTAAAAAAATTAAAGAAAACACAATCATGAGAACATTTTTTAATCACAAAATGCGGGAGTGACTTATGGTGACATTTAAGTGCAGATAAATAAGAGCAATGGTGCATTAAAAAATTTAAATGGTGGATACAAAACACCAGAAAAGACAATGTTTAGGGCCAAAAAAAGAAGGAACATAGTCCGGATTAAGAAAGTTGAAAACGATAGACCATACGACGTTGCATGAGTGAAAATATGAACTGGTTATATTCATCCCAAGCAACACAAAACTTGTTCTTACATAATTTTGGAACATTTAGATAAAACGTAAAAAAAGATTAACAAATCAAATATCAACTTCAAATGATATAAAAGTAGTGCACTAAAATAACATACATACCGTTCTCCATTAAAGGATACCCAATAACAGTTTGAATAACATAGGATACAAAGGAGAGATGATATGATCTTTATTAGGATTAGGTAGAAGTCTTGAACAGCCACGTAATTTGGTACGTAATGCATTCAAAACAAAACAAATATTAGTTACATATAAAACAAATTAAAAATAAAATAAAAAGGATCGTACGTAATAATACCTGGGTTGAGCTTGGGCGATCGTACGTAATAATGTTAAGAGCAGAAGAAGATACAAGCCTGCGGCAGAAATGGAAATGAATAAGCCGATGGAAGATGATGAATGTAATACGGAAAGTTATTAATCAAGAAAAAAACGGCAAGTTATTAATCAAGGAGCAAAATAAATTCACTTACCATTATGGAGCTTTGGTAAAACGGAAGGAAATAATTTGGAAGGACAATAATACCCCATGCGCAATGCTTCAAATCAAGACCATCCTTTTACCTACGTAAGAAATTAAATGGATGAGATGACTTCTCATTTTTCATGATAAGAGGTGTTTTTATATGATCCTAAATCTATATATATATATATATATATATATATATATATTAGATTGAGATGAATGACGGATTATCAATGACTTCTTTATATATAGCATTTTAATACATATTTCAAGTATTAATATAATTAAATAGATTAATTATTCAAGTCTAAGTGATTTTTCCTTAACTTTTGAAATTTCTAGCGTATCGTGAATTTGATTTAATATATTAACTTTTAATAATTATTTAAAGATAAATTTTATGTAGATTAAATTGGTAACTTCTCACAAATAAAAATACATACTCCCTCCGTCCCATAAAATTTTTCCCACTTTCCTTTTTGGGCCGTCCCAAAAAATTCTTCCCACTTACCATTTTTGGACAATTTGTGTAGTTCACATTCATTTCATCTTTTTCTTACACAACCACAACCATACATTTCCACTTTCTTAATCTTCGTGCCAAGTCAAAGTGGGAAGAATTTTATGGGACGAAGGTAGTACTAGCTAATTAGGTTACGGCGGGGCGGGTCATGGATCAACAAGTTTGGACCCGTGCAGGTCACGGGATGGGGCGGACCCACCTCATCAAGTCACGGGGCGGGTCTGGGTCTTGCAATACTCGCCCCGACCCATTGCCATGCCTAACTATTGGCATATAAAGTATATTATAGAGATTTAATTATTGATTTTGCTTCCAAAACTTCTCGGTAGGTGGCAACCCTATTCATGTGGAAGATTATCCGCTATGTAATATGAAGTATTGTTTTACAATTATCTTAGTATGGTACTTTAAACAATTTCGAATTTATAGGGAGAACTACCAAATAAGATCTCGAACTTTCATAAAAAGTGAAAATAAGCCCTTTTATAGGAGGCTCTGTCCGACCGTCGCCATTCGGAACGGTTTTCGCTGGAATCTTTTAATAAACATTTTTGAGCATATTTTTCATTAAGTTTAGTTTACTCATACCAGATTTCAGCTAATAATTCAATCGAGAAGATAGTCAAATAAATTTTTGAAGATAACTGCGCAGTTAGACAGTGCAATATATTTCGAAAAATCATTTGACCGCATTCTTGATTGAATTTTGAACTGAAATTTGGTATGGCTAAACTAGACTTAATGAAGAAGATACTCAAAAAAGTTCATCAAAAAATTCCACCGGAAATCGCCCCAAATGGCGACAGCCAAACAAAGCTTCCTGTAAAAGGGCTTATTTGCACTTTTTATGAAAGTTCGAGGGCTTATTTGATAGTTCTCCCTTCCCATATTTATATTATCTTGAATTATCTAATCTATTTGTCTTTCATAAAATTTAATTGCATTTTGTCTCATACTATCCCCTATTCATGTATTGAAATTTATACACTATTCATGTACGTACTCTACTTTGACTACATTTTATTTATTAATGTACGTGAATTATTTTTTGAAAAGTAATGTTGAATTCATCTCATTACAAAGTATCATTGTCTGATTTTTAATTTTTTTACTAATACAAAATTAAATATAATAATGATCAAAGTTGTGCATTGACAAACCAAAAAAGCGAGTGTTGCAATTCACTAAAAAAGAAGAAGAAATGGAAACACCAACAAAAGAAGAAGAAATGGAGTTAGTAATGTACTCCGTCTGTTCCTATTTTATCTTCCAAATAGGTTTGACACACAATTTAAGATAGTGGGTATTGTGTGGTGGAGAGTTGTGCAGATGAGAGAGAAATGTGTAAGAAATGTTGTGAACCACAAATTCTTTACTAAAAAGAGAAAGTAGAAATTTGAATTGGAACGGATGAAAAATGAAAGTTGAAAATTTTAATAGGAACTGATGGAGTGCTTACTAACAAGTTAGGGTGGTTCGCAAACGTGAGTTTCATTTTTAGCCCTTGGTAGCTAAATCATGGCTTGCGGCCCAGAGCGCTTTTGATAAGGATTAGTTGAATGGTCTCCAAATGTTGATATTTATGAAATTCTACTTGAATCCGCTGAATCATAGGAAAATTACATTTAAAATTATTTTATAAATAAAACAAAGAAAAAGTATACGAAAATAGTTAAAATGATCTTTTACAGTAATTTCAGTCAATTCAAAAAGAAAAGTAATTCTAAACAGGGACGGAGCCAGGGGTCAGGGTGGTCAACCGATCCTCCCGAAAGTTTGAGAGTATAGAACTATGAAATACTTTCAATTTGATATACTATGGCTATCGTAACTCATTGTGAGTAAAAAGTTATGATTTACGAAAAATCGGCATTATATAAACTTAAAATTAGTAAATTTTGATTTGTAATATTGATTATACTCTCAAATTTTAAAAATGGCGCATAGTTCATTCTTTACTTACGTGACACGACTCAGGGATAAACCAAATACAACTTATCTTACTGTTACGAGTGCCTACTCAACGGCCGATTCTTTTCCGGTAAGAAATCTTGATACTAAGTCGAATGAGAGGAAAACTAGTGAGTTACAAGTTAAGGTAAAGGGTCTCATCTGAGGTAGCCACTAGTGCGGATACCAGTCGACTAAAGTTGTATAAAACAAATGTTGGAAAATGTGTTAAAAAATGCATTAAATGGTCATTTTGAGGCAATTATTTGTGTGGGGTCCACTTCCGATTTGGGTCGGGTCAAAGTGGTTTCGGATTATCCTTGTTAAGGGCTACAATTCGATATGTGGTACACTCAAAACGGATAACGGGTGAATGCGAAATTGATTCTCGAAGTTCACTCGTTGAAATGGAAAAACTGGGAAAATGATGGGTTTCTAGTGTGTTTTATCCCACACCGGAAAACTCAAGGGATTTTCACCCCCTTATAAAGGGAAACCTCTTTTAAGGAGTTAAGATTCCTAAAGGTAAAGTCTCTCTCTTACGCGCAGGGGGGGTGCTGATCAAATCCTGAAACGGAGAAGAAAAACCGCGACTCGTGTGCGCGGGCAACTTGCGGATACGAATGCCGTCCGAAAAATCTAATTTTTTGTTCTTCCCGTAACGTTTTATTTTTTCCAGAACTGCTCCGCTTTCTGTTGCCTTCCGGACAAGAGAACCTAAGAGGGTTTCTGTTGGATCAGAAGACCTGAGGGTTTGTGTTGGCCTTGGGGTCTTGTGGTGGCTTCAGACCAGAACACCTCGAGGTGTTCTGGTGGAGGTATTTTGTTCGCACCAGAAGGTCTTCTAGCCCGTTACAGCAATAAATGCCCAACGTTCTTCTCTGTTAATGCTGCGTTACATGGACAGTTTATGGACGATTCAATGCCCAACGGACTGGTGGATCAGAAGACTTGAGGGTTTCTGCTGGCTTCCGGACAGAAGGCTTTGGGGTCTTCTGTTGGCTTCAGACCAGAACACCTCGAGGTGTTCTGGTGGAGGTATTCTGTTCGCACCAGAAGGTCTTCTGACCCGTTACAGCAATAAATGTCCAACGTTCTTCTCTGTTAATGCTGCGTTACATGGACAGTTTATGGACGATTCAATGCCCAACGGACTGGTGGATCAGAAGACCTGAGGGTTTCTCCTGGCTTCCGGACAGAAGGCCTTGGGGTCTTCTGGTGGCTTCAGACCAGAACACCTCGAGGTATTCTGGTGGAGGTATTCTGTTCGCACCAGAAGGTCTTCTGTCCCGTTACATCAATAAATGCCCAACGTTCATCTCTTTTAATGCTGCGTTAAATGAATAGTTTGTGGACGATTCAATGCCCAACAGACTGGTGGATCAGAAGACATGAGGGTTTCTGCTGGCTTCCGGACAGAAGGCCTTGGGGTCTTTGGTGGCTTCAGACCAGAACACCTCGAGGTGTTCTGGTGGAGGTATTCTGTTCGCACCAGAAGGTCTTCTGGTCCGTTACACCAATAAATGTCCAACATTTTTCTCTTTTAATGCTGCGTTAAATGGACAGTTTATGGACGATTCAATGCCCAACGGACTGGTCATTGATGTCCAACATTCAGGTCCATTAACACCCCATTTAACACACAACAAATCCTCCTATAAATAGTTGGCAGGTGGTTTGCAACAACACAACACACAATACATTCCTCACGTATTTTTGAGCTCTAAAACACTTCCAGCTACTCAGAAAATTCCTAAGTGTTCATACTGTGTTCCAGTTCGCCGGAACTCTTGTTTGTGTGCTCAAACGTTAGTTCGTTAGCCATCGTATCATGGGAAACGGTCATTGCAATGCTCCTAGCACCGTGGGAGGCGACGAATACGTTTTAAGGACATCGTGCGTAGCACGAGCTCTGACTAAAATCTGTTCCATCTTATTTATGTTTTTTTAGCTATTTAATTAATTAATTAATTATTTTTATTAATTATTATTTCTTCGTTTTTCCGAAACACACCCAACTATAAGTTTAGAATATATATATATATGATATATTCGGGGTATATCAAATCAATAATTCTACTAGTCTCATTTGGCTACCATTTTTCCTATTTTCAGACTCCACTAGTGATTCTATCCTTACTTATTATGATCTTCACACAACTCAAACTGTGAAATCAAAAGTCAATGTTTGATGGAAAAATTAGTCAATAACGTTGACAAGCTCAAAATAAACACCTTTTTCCGGTGTGGCGTAATAATAAACACCACTTACAATGTAATTGAAATGCTTAATGGGAGAGATATTTATTTGTCGTGGATCGGAATGCAAGACATAGGTTTAATGTTTAAGTATGTTTTTAATTAAATTGAAATTTTCTGATCTGATCTGGCCTGATTTTGTATGGTATAATATATATCTAATTTATGTGTGTTTTATAACTATCGAACTCTGACCTGCTCTGTTTAAATCTGAACTAGGATTGAAACCAATTCAAGTAAAAACTTTTAGATTTTTGTTGACAAAAGTTTTGCACTGTGTTTTCTTATCTATTATAGTATCGGTTTTATGTTAAATAAAAGTCAACGCCCATAGAGTGAGATGAGATTCAAACATGTGAACTTCGCCATAAGTATATCACA